ATGTAGACGCAGTTCCATTGAGGACCACACGCTGAGTGCGGCCGGTCAGCTACCTATGAATCCCTCTGGTGGTGATGCTTTCTAACCCACATTTTTCTAACTTATTGAGTTGTAGTTGTGATCTACTTTATCAAATGCCTTACTAATGCCTTAATAATAATTGAATGTAAATTTCAACTGATTTGCCTGGAAATTGTTGAAGGATTGGAGCTTTATGTTACTTTTGAAGATTTCTATAATAATTACAGTAAATAAAGACATATTTGACTCTTTCTGTCCCTCCAGAATCTTGTGGATAGTCTTTCATGCATTCTCTACCTGTGGCACAGAAGGGCAGAAGGTAATGCAATAAAAACCTTTTTCCTAAGCTAGGAAGAGTTTACATGCTCAGATAGTAAGCAGGTTCCAAGCTGTTCATAGACATGAACTATCTGGAAGTCTATAGTAGCAAACTAAATTTAGCTTGTAGTCCAGTTANAGTTATATTCATTCAGTGAGAAAATATTTCATCTTGGAGGTTTTATTGCTGTAATATTCATCAAAACCATAATGTACCTAGAGTTTGAGAACTTTTCAATTGTTTAATTTCCATTCAGGAGTCATTTTTCCATCTTTTTCCACTGGTTATCATAAATAATAATTTTCCTTTCCTTTCCTTTCCTTTCCTTTCCTTTCCTTTCCTTTCCTTTCCTTTCCTTTCCTTTCCTTTCCTTTCCTTTTTCTGTCTTCCTTCCTTCCTTCCTTCCTTCCTTCCTACCTACCTACCTACCTACCTACCTTCTTTCATTCTTTTCCTCTAGTTGACCTATGGCTCTTTTGCCCAGGAAGAATTTCAGAGTAACAAATTATCTTCACTTTATTGCATGGTGCCAGAAGAGGACTATCAGTACATGGGAGTTATACAACTTTTCCTCCATTTTGGATGGAGGTGGATTGGAGTCTTTACTTTTGAAACTAACGGAGAACGTTTTTTGCAGAAACTGCAGCCATTGATTTCACAGAATGGGATCTGTTTAGCTTTCACACAAAAAATTCCACAACATATCCAGTTAGAAGATTTTTCAGAATTGTTAGATTCAGTCTCAAATATTTCTAATAAATTGATGGATCAGAAAACAAATGTTTTTCTTGTCTATGGAGAATCATTCACAATAGTGTGGCTCAGAAATGTCATGTTTCTATGTGATCCTGAAAATAAAGACAGATCATTATTCAGAAAGGTTTGGGTCCTAATGAACCCAATTGATTTCATACTGAGTGGAGCTCAAAGGAGTTTGGATCTCCAGATGTACCATGGGGCTCTTTCCTTTACAGTTCATTCAAGAGACATTCAAGGCTTCAAACAATTTCTTCAAGTCATCAAACCTTCCACCCACAAAGATGGATTTCTTCAAGAGGTTTGGCAACAATTGTTTGACTGTATATTTTCAAAGGCAAATTTACCTTCATTGATCAGTGAAACGTGTAGTGGGGAAGAGACTCTGGAGACTCTGCCTGCACCTCTGTTTGAGTTGCAGATGACTAGCCAAAGCTACAGTATCTACAATGCTGTTTATGCAGTGGCACATTCTTTGCATGAGGCAAAGACATCAAGTCCCAAATGGTAAAAAATTCAAAGGTTTGAATTTCCAAATCTGCAGCCTTGGCAGGTAATCTCCCCATGCCATTCCTATCTTTTGTTTTTAGCAAATAGTAATTCTCAATGTGATATGACTAGTTTGGCCTGGCCTATGGCCACATATCATTAGAGATCCTAAAGCAACTAGAGTTTTATTGTAAGAGATTGTTCTTTGTTACGGAATAAAAGAGATTTAAAAGTCATACTGCCTTTGCAAATTTTGGTCCAGTCAAAATGGTGAATGTACCTATCATCATTCCATTAATCACCCTTTCTTCTTTCCTGACTTATAAATTCATCAGTCCTGGTTCCAGAATACAATGGAGAGGCATCTGAAGGCAGTCTTTGTTTTTTGCCCAACAAAGCTTTCTGAAATGGGAACATTTCATTTTTTTATTAGTTTTTTGAAATTTAATCAAGGCAGGTTTGTTATCCTGGGAACATAAAGCTTATGACAGTTGTTCTATTGTAGCAGAGATGTGTTATTTCCATGAAATGATGTTGGTTTTTAGAGAGAAGGGCGGGAGAAGGGCGGTATATATAAATCAAATTAAATTAATAAATAAATTTATGGTAAATTACCAGAATTGCTGAGTTTGCTGTCTTTAAAGTACTCATGACAATTAATTAATAAAGTAAGTTCCATATTTCAGTTATTGATTGTTCTTGGTGTGTTGACATTTTCTTCTTCTGTATTTGAAGACAGGGAATGTTGTTTGGTTTCCTTGGAAGGAAGAGTAAAAGAAAGAGAAATTCCTGATGCATTGTTTCCTTTTTAACTCCCTTTCTTCTTTTTCTTCAAGTAGCTCCACCAGTTTCTTCAACAGATTTCTTTTAATAACTCAGCTGGAGAAAGAGTCTTCTTTAAAAACAGAAGAGAAGGTCCAGGTGGCTTTGACATTATCAACATGATCACTTTCCCAAACAGATCCTTTCAGAGAGTTAAAGCTGGAAAGTTACACCCTAATGCTCCAAAAGGAAAAGAAGTTATCATTGAGAACACAATCCTTTGGCATCCTGATTTTAACCAGGTATGAATAGCAATTGGGCTGTTGATTTATTATATTATTGAAAAGTAATAGCGATAGTGCTTAGACGTACAGTATATACCACTTCATAGTGCTTTACAGCCCTCTCTAAACAGTTTACAGAGTCAGCATATTGTCCCCAACAATCTGGGCCCTCATTTTACTGACCTCAGAAGGATGGAAGGCTGAGTCAACTTTGAGCCAGTGAGGACTGAACTCCTGGCAATGACCAGAATTAGCATGCAATACTGCATTCTAACCATTGTGCCACTATGGCTCAATCATGTTCAGATACAAAGGAATATATAACCCTAACCCTAAACCTCTGTAAAATGTTAACAATGTTAAGGGTCATTTATGTAAGCCAATGTAAATCATTTCCATTGTTTAATCGGGATTCTTTCATATCAATGGCTATGTTTATGTCTGTAGGTTCTTCCTGTTTCTTTGTGTAATGACCACTGTTCCCCCAGAGCCTGGAAGAGAAGGGCTGAAAGCAGTCAGTTCTGTTGCTATGACTGTGTTCCATGCCTAGAAGGAAAGATTTCTAATGGAACTGGTAGGTTATCAATTTCACGTGGGGATTGACTCTAATTCTGCCGAAAAGGCAGTTTTGCTTCTGACCCCCACCCATGCCAGAAACTGCACGCCACCATCGTTCACCTGCCATGTCCCCCCGAAAACCCCTGCGATCTCCTATCACATGCTGGCAGGCAGAAGCCCCATGGCCTAAAAGTCCCATTCTGTCTCCTCCATGCTCGGGGAGGGGAGATATTAACAGTGTCGCCGGTGGCCATGCTGCCACCGGCCGTGGCTTTCCTACTGGGGGGGGCAGGATGATCCCAGTGAAAGGGAAGCCTTGCAGGCTGTTAGATCAGGCCGGTGAGTGAGGCATGGAGGCGCTAGTGCCTAGGAAGGTGAGCAGCAGCCCCAGTGGCAAGAAGGGTCTCCAAAAAGAGCGGAGTCTGTGTGTGCCTGCTACAAACTCACCCATCAGCTATGCTCTCCATGCCTCAGACATCAGCTGTAGCATGCCGTGGAAAGCAAGGCTGATGTGGGCAAGGCAGGCGCACATACAGACTCCACTGTTTTCAGCAGTGCTTTGGTGCCTGGCCCAGCAAAGCGGAGCTGGAAGAGGAGAGGGCCATCAAAGCCGGGCATGGCCAGGTGTGACGGGCGATGTGGGGAGAGGTGGGGCGAGGCTGGGAGGGGCAGAGCAGGATGAGGCAAATGAGCTGCAGCTATTCCTGTGCACCACCAGCCTCCAAGCACTCACCATTTCCTGTGTTTGCACTGGGAGGGTGCCCAGCCGGGTTGGGATGGACCAGGGCTCAACAGAGGCTGGGGCAACGGGGGCTGATCCCTTGCCATTTCTGGAACAGCTCCAGGAGCCAAATTTGGGCTTTTGGAAGGCCGGCCTTGACCTGGAGGCCTTGTGTTTCATATATCTGCTTTATAAGGACTTCAGGTGTGGGTGTGTCAAATGAGGTGTCAGGTGTGAGTCATCAGAGATGGGCTCGTGATGGGGAGGTTACTTCAGGTCAGGGCCATGGGATGATGTGAATTATCATGGGGTCAAGATCCATCACCAGCCTCTCATACCTGAGCCACTGATAATTCACATTCTACAATGATCGTGACCTGAAGTACCTTCTCCATCACAAGGCCCATCACAAGCCCCTCTCTGATGACGCATACCTGACCCATCATGAGACTCTCACTTGACACATCCCCACCTAAATCACTTATAAATAGTAAAGCACTGAAATAGAAATCTCCTAAATGTCACTGAAAATGTTACCTAGCCTGGTAGCAAAAAGTTCAGAAAATGAAACTTCACCCACAACATTCTGAGTGCTATAAACTGATTAAGGTCAGTTTAGCTGCAATGAATGCAACATTTCTTTTCCACATGATCTGCCATTTTCCAAGTTTTAACTTCCATAAAAACCAGAAAATACGTAGAAGCAAAGGGAATTTCACTAGGTCACAGATGTCTTATGAACGGATCAGTTATTTTATCATCCAAGGCACACAGGATGGATATTTGTAGAACCAACTATAGTTCTCCACGTAGAAAACAAAAGCATCTTAAAGTCAAGATAAAATACAGGGATGGACATGTCCCTTGAGAGCTGAATGCAATGAAATTCCATTTTAATGTATGCCAATTAATGTACAATAAAGTTTCTATTCTATTCTGTTCTGTTCTTTTCTTTTCTATTCTACTCTAAATATCATTTTATCAGAAAGGTATATTATAGAAAAGAATAAGAACTGGCATCCACACAGTCTATAATTTTCAAAAACACAAAATGGATAGATGACAAATTCATTGGCTTTTCTTTCCAGATATGGATGACTGTTTTGAATGTTCAGAAGATCATTACCCAAATAAAGAAAAGAAAGGCTGTATCCTGAAACTGCTGGTCTTTCTAACTTTTGAAGAAACTTTAGGAATCGGTTTAGCCTCAGTCACTCTTGGTTTCTTCTTCTTGACATCTTGGGTATTTGGAACTTTTATTAAACACAGGGATACTCCCATTGTCAGAGCCAACAACAGATCCCTCACCTATACCCTTCTTGTCTCTCTTTTGTTCTGCTTTCTCTCCTCTTTTTTATTTCTCAGCCAACCTGGCAAAGTGACCTGCCTTCTCAGACAATCAACTTTTGGAATTACCTTCTCAGTGGCCATTTCTAGTGTACTGGCCAAAACCATCACGGTGGTTGTGGCTTTCATGGCCACTAAACCTGGATCTCAAATGAGGAAGTGGGTGGGGAAAAGATTGGCCTTTTCTACTGTATTTTCCTGTTCTCTCTTCCAAGTATGTATTTGTATCCTTTGGTTGTCAACATCTCCCCCATTCCCTGAATTGGACATGCATTCAGAGCTCCAAGAAATGATTTTACAGTGCAATGAGGGGTCAGGTTTCTTTTTCTACTGTGTCTTGGGCTACATGGGTTTCTTGGCCATTGCCAGCTTCATTGTGGCTTTCCTTGCCCGTAAATTACCTGACAGCTTCAATGAAGCCAAGTTCATCACCTTCAGCATGTTGGCCTTTTGCAGTGTGTGGGTCTCCTTCTTTCCAGCCTATCTGAGCACAAAAGGCAAAGCCATGGTAGCTGTGGAGGTCTTCTCCATCTTGTCTTCCAGCGCTGCATTACTGGGATGCATATTCTTGCCAAAGTGCTACCTCATTGTTTTGCGGCCTGAGCTAAACCACAGGGAACAACTAATAAAGAGAATGTAGTACATCAGATTGTTTAACCCAACCTTTTTTTCCTTTGAATATATCAAGCTAACAAGATTTTGACAATCTATCTGTTTATATATTGACTTTAAGGATAAAAGGCAGCTGGCAGTTCATGGTTTTTATAGCTTCACTTCATAAACCAGTGTATAAATATGGGGAAAAGCTAGTGGATATTTTATAGACATTTATTTATCTCAGTATCATAGGGGATCTGTTTTGGATTGATTAGCCATCTTTGAAAGGTAAAAGTTAAAATGTTTTTGAACATTTAATATACATTTAACTATGTTTTTTTAAAAAAAATCAGGAACAGTCTAGCCATTCACTCTCCATCCACCAAGGTATTTTTACTGTATCCTATTGCAATTTAAGGACATTATATGAAATGTAAGTTTCCTTCTGCCTCATCCCTTACTAGAAGTGTATGCTGGGTGATGTCCATATAAAGTTTGATTTGATTTGGTTTGATTTAGGTATGTTTTCCATTAGTCCTTTGGAGGAGACCCCTTTCATTATGTAATATATGTATGTAATATATCTGCTACATCAATGTTTTGCAGCCTGAGCTAAACCACAGGGAACAATTAATAAAGAGAATGTAGTACATCATGTGTTCTTTCTGGCTATGGAAAATGATTAATAATATATTTTTACTGTACCCTATTATCCAATTTTAATAATATTTTAATTTAAAGACATATCAGGCTGTCAGCCGCCCTGAGTCCGTAAGGAGAAGGGCGGGATAAAAATCCAAATAAATAAATAAATAAATAAATAAATAAATAAATAAATAAATAAAATATGAAATGTAATCTTCCTTCTGCCTCATCCCTTATTAGAAGTGTATGCTGGCTGATGTCAGTAATAAATTTTGATTTGATTTGGTTTGATTTAGGTATGTCTTCACTAGTCCTTTGGTGGAGACCCCTTCCATCATATAATATATGTCTAATAAAATACCACACCAGGCTAAAAAGCAGAAGACCATGACTTCTACTTTAACTATGAAAGCCACCTGGGTGACTTTAGGACAGTCCCTCTCTCTCAGCCCAACTCACTTCACAGGGTCATAGTTGTTTGAGGGAAAATAGGAAGAGGAAAGTGTGTTGGATATGTTTGATGCTTTGAGTTATTTGTCAAAATAATTAAAATATTAAATAAATAAATAAATAAATAAATAAATAAATAAATAAATAAATAAATAAATAAATAAATTTGCTTTGGGTCCTGTATTTTAATTTCATGATATCAATATTGGTGTTGAGTCACATTAGCATTCTCTGCCTGGAAATATGAGTGAACTTATCCAAAAGGCTATCTTGTTTAATTGGCGTTCCTTAATAGGTAAAAAAGTTTCCTCTTCTCTATTCAACTACTCAGTTCATTTTACGTGGAAAATGGGAGTCCTGCTCCATTGTAAGAAATGAACATGAATTTGAACAATTAGGCCTATTTTTATTGTCATTGTCCCTTACTATATATTATTTTAATTGGCATTTTCTCATTATTAAACCATCAGACACTTATTATCTCACCAGTAGCAAAATAATTATTTCTTACAGGAATCATGGTATTATCTTAGTTAGGCCCAAAGATGCTGAGCAAAAGCACTTTAAAAATTTAAATTCCCGCTGCTAATGAGGATATGATTAAATATAGTTTTTTTAAAAGTTTTTTATTTATAATACAATTAAAACAAAAGTGGACATACGTGGCATTCCAGAGTAAATATTCCTAACAATTTGTTTCTCGTGATACAAAAACTTAATACATCATCCTTAACCTCTATATAAACCTCATTCTTCTACATAATACAATTATATATACAATTATATGTACAATTATATGTATGTTTCAATCCTATCGTTAGCTTAAGATCCGAGCAGTTCTCCTTGATTCATACCAGCGATAAAATTTGTCCCAGATTTCAAAATATTCCAGTTCTGTCTTATCTTTCATAGCCATTGTAAGCCTGTCCATCTCTGCACATGATAAAATTTTATACAGGATTTCTTCTTCCGTTGGAATTCCCTTATTCCTCCAATTTTGAGCATAAACCAAGCTGGAAGCCATTAGAATGTGTAGCATCAAATAGAGTATGCCTTTGTCATACTTCTGCGTTGTTATACCTAATAGGAAAAATTCTGGTTTTAACTCTATCACTCGCTCTAGTATTTCTTCCAACTATTCTTTAACCTTAGTCCAAAAATCACAAGCTCACGGGCACTCCCACCACATATGATAGTATGTTCCAATTGCCAGATTACATTTACAACATTTAGAAGAAATGTTGGGACCCATTTTAGTTAATATTATGGGCGGGAGATGCCATCTATAAAACATTTTATAGAGGTTTTCTTTGTAAGAGGTGGCCAGAGTAAGCTTCTTATTCCTTGCCCATAATTCTTGCCAGATGTGCAGATCGAAGTTTAAACCAAAATCCTTACTCCATTTTAACATAGTTACTTTTACTTGTTCTTCATACATTGCCAAATCTAACAAATAATAGTANTGTAAGTTAGTCCAAATATCGAGATCTTTTTGGATCTGTTCTATTAATTTATCGTAATTATCCCTTTTAAGTGTAACGCATCTGGCAGACAATTGTATCCCTAAATATCTAACTTTGTTTGTAATTTGAACACCTATTCTGTCAACCAATTCATTTTCCTGGATTTTGGTCATGTTTTTGACGAGCATTTTAGTTTTTTTCTTTATTTATCTTTAGGCCAGCTATCTCCCCATATCTACTCAGTATTTCCATCAATCTTATCCCTGATTGTAATGGTTCTTCGATTATAAAGACTAAGTCATCTGCAAAGGCTTCTATTTTATATGTCTCTTTCTTAATCTCTAAACCTTTGATCTGCTCATCTTGCCGAATTACTCTAGTTAGTACCTCAAGAGATAGTATAAACAGCAGTGGTGATAATGGGCAACCTTGCCTCGTGCCTTTTTGGATTTGGAAGCTATCAGTCGGTTCTCCATTAATTATTACTCTGGCCATCTGCTTAGAGTAGACTGATTTAAACATATTTAAAAAAATTTCCCCAAAATCCATATACAATAATTGGTTGAACATAAAATCCCATTTTACGTGGTCGAATGCTTTTTGTGCATCAAGAAAAATTAAACACATTTGCTTTTCATTATGCACTTCATAATACTCCAATATGTCCAAAATAGTCCTAACATTGTTTCTTATGTATCTTTTAGATAGAAAGCCGTTTTGATCAGAATGTATAAAATGCACTAAAAACCTTTCAAATCTTTGCGCCATTGTTGCCATGAAAATCTTATAATCTGAATTCAAAAGAGAAATGGGTCTATAGTTCTTGATTTGCGCCAGGTCTGTATTTTCTTTAGGAATCAGAGTGAGGAAAGCTTCTTCCCATGAAGCTGGTATTTTAGCTTGGGTTAAGACCTCATTAAATAGATCCAACAGCATTGGGCTTAAGAATTCTTGTGCAATTTTGTACATTTCTGCAGGTATACCATCTGGCCCGGGTGCTTTATTATTCTTTTGTTTCTTAATTGCAGCCGAGAGTTCTAAATGTGTTATCTCTTTATTCAGCAGAGTTTTAAATTCTTCTGGAACCTTTGGTAAGTCAGTTGATTGTAAATACTGTACTATATCATAGTTGTTTCTCTTTTCATCGTCTTTATATAAATTCTTATAGAACCCATATGCCACTAGTTTCTTTCCTTCGTTCTGGCATAGCATGTCACCCTTGGCATTATAAAGTTTGGTAACCCTCTGCTTGTTGTTATGTTTTTTGATTTTATAAGCCAACCATCTCCCTGGTTTATTGGCGTTTTCAAAGAAATTTTGTTTAGTACGTTTTATCTGCTGTCCTAACTCTTCCTTCACTATGATATCCATNCGGCCTGGGCACAGCACGGAAACGGCATTGGTCACGTTGGTTGATGATCTCTGGAGGGCTCGGGATAGAGGCTGCTCCTCTATCCTGGTCCTGTTAGATCTCTCAGCGGCTTTCGATACCATCGACCATGGTATCTTGTTGCACCGGTTAGAGGGGTTGGGTTTGGGGGGCACCGTCTTACGGTGGTTCTCCTCCTACCTCTCGGACCGGTTGCAATTTATGTTGGCAGGGGGGCAGAGGTCGACCTCGAGGTGCCTCACTTGTGGGGTACCACAGGGGTCGGTCCTCTCACTTCTCCTGTTCAACATCTATATGAAGCCACTGGGTGAGATCATCCGTGGTTTCGGGGTGGAGTTTCATCAGTACGCAGATGACACCCAGTTGTATATCTCCACCCTGGACCACCCCAATGATGCCACGGAAGTGATGTCCCGGTGCCTGGAGGCCGTGCGAGTCTGGATGGGGAGGAACAGGCTTCGAATCAACCCGTCCAAGACCGAGTGGCTGTGGTTTACGGCGTCACGACATAGCCAGTTGGCTCCATCCCTGGCTATCGGGGGCGAGTCATTAGCCCCCGTGGAGAGGGCTCGCAACCTGGGCGTCCTCCTGGATACTCGGCTGTCTTTAGACGACCATATGACAGCCATGGCCAGGGGGGCTTTTCATCAGGTTCGCCTGATATGCCAGTTGCGCCCCTTTCTGGATCGTGACGCTCTATGCACGGTCACTCAAGCCCTCGTTGTTTCCCGCCTGGACTATTGCAATGCTCTCTACATGGGGCTCCCCTTGAGGTGCACCTGGAGGCTCCAGCTAGTTCAGAATGCGGCTGCGCGGGGGATCCTGGGGGCCTCTAGATACTCCCATGTAACACCTCTCCTGCGTGAGCTGCACTGGCTGCCTGTGGGCTTCCGGGTGTGCTTCAAGGTGTTAGTAACAATCTTTAAAGCGCTCCATGGCAATGGACCTAGGTATTTGCAAGACCGCCTCCTACCAAACACCTCCCTTCGACCAGTCCGCTCCCACAGAGAGGGCCTCCTTAGGGTGCCATCAGCCAGACAATGCCAGCTGGTGACCCCCAAGGGGAGAGCCTTCTCTGTGGCAGCTCCTGCCCTC